GGGGACAGAGTAAGTTGAAGACTAAGCAGGCCTTAGATCTGGAAATGAGGAAGAACCAGCCAAGGAGACTGACAAGCCAGGTGGGAAAGCGGTGGCAAGTAAATAAACCATTTCGGGATAGATTCAGAAGCCACTAATTCAATGGGTCAGATGCTACCAGTATTTGCATCCAATGAGGACTCAGAATGGACAACTGGTTGAACAGTACAGAAAAGACTTTGACCTTGCCAAGTGTTTTACGACTCTTGTGTAGGGGTGCAAGGACCAGTTTGACTTGGTTTAAGAAAAAACAGCCTTTCTCTGTGTGTGTGTGTTTTCTTTTGTGTGTGTTCTTTTGTGTGAGTTTTGTGTGTGTGTTTCTCTTCCTCAATGAGATGACAAAATCTCTAAATGTATATCTTCTGCCTTTTATATATTTGTATAAAAAGTTGCCTGACAAAGTTCTTTTTTTGTATTTTAAAGGGTTAGAAATATAAATGTTCTCATCATAAATGTCATTTTATTTTTTGTTACTTTCCTATCATTTCAGAAACACGAATCAGTCAAAACAAATTGTTCACAACATAAAATGGTTACATTATAAAATGGAAGAAAATTAATATTTCTAGTAATTGATTAGGAAGATTTGCAACAGTGATCCATACCTTTAAAAAGGAACTAGTGAAATTCAGAATATAATAATGATGTTATCTGTGCAATTTAAAATAATGATTAGCCAGTAATGTTTAAGTAACTTTTAAAAACAATTACTATTCTAACTAAAGGAATTGTTTTCTTTGAGGATAATTCACCTCCCACCAGTTCCACATTTTGACAGCTTTATCATTTTGGACCAATGTGCATTTGGCCTTTCCCCCGCCATTCTTCATCCTGTAAGTGCTGTGCCCTTCCAAGCTGATCCTTTGAAGACAAATTCTTTGTCCTTGTTTGGAATATTGAACAATAAATGTCAAGTTTTTTTTTTTTTTTTTTCCATTTACAAAGGTTTTATCAATTGCTGACCTAAAAAAGATTAGATGTAATCTTAGATATTAAAACTACCATTCAACATGGAAGATCTTTAAAAAAGAAAAATTTACATGAATTACAATTAACTTTAAAGACTTTTAATGAGGAAATGACATACTTCTTGAGGTTATAATTTGTGCATTCTTTGAATTTCGTAGCCTATTAGCTTGATTTGACCCTGCGAATCATGGAGATATGTATTTTTTTGTTTCTCCTGAAGTTCATCAGCAAATCTCTACATCAACTCACATACTGGGTTTTGTGAAAGCCAAGAGTTTTTTTAGTCATTGAAGGAGCTAGCATGGAATTATAAAGCAAATGTACAAACAAGAAACTATAGCAAAAAGCTAAAAAAAGAACTCCTCCTAATTAAAATTGTCATTGTCATTTAAGGTATATACTATATAGATTTTTTAATGTGAACCACTGATGAGAAAGCAATGCATATAGGATGAAGTTGTAATTTAATTTATTTAAAATTCTTTCTACATCAGCCTCCCTACTTTCTTTTCATATCTGGTTTATTTTGAAAGAATAAATCTGTTAGCCCTTCAAACATTTTCTGTCAAAAATATGAACTTACTTGATATGGGTTAGCAGGGTTGTGATTGGAGACTCAATATTTCACTTATTTTAATGTAAATGACACAGGATTGTATTGAATCTTATTACTTAAATATTGTATTAATTTAAATGGCTCAATGTATAGACATGTTTACATCTTTTACATTTTGTTTTAAATCTTCCTCAATGTTGGAAAATCAGGTATATATGATTATTTATATTTGTGGAAACTTAAAAAACACAGGATACATTTGAACTATATTTATATTTCTGAAAGACACCTAAATATTTTCTTTTTTATTTCCCATATATATTCTACAGTGACTTAACTGAAATTCAGCATTTTAGCATGTTGACATTCATATCCTTATTATTTAATTTAATGTGACTATGATTCTTCAGAAGATTCAGTTCTTATCATGTTCAGCATTTTTTCTTATTTAAAAAAATCACATGTTTACATTATATAGTTTTAAAATTGAAGTTTTGCCAGTAATGTATTATATATTGTGACATTAATTACTTGGTTAATGTAAAAACTTTATTTTCTATCACAAATATTTTAGTCACAAAATGACATGATTTAATAAAAGGAACATGGGATCAACCTTGTCATGAAACAGGTTTGACTCCTTGCTAGCTAGGTGCATGACCCTGAGAAAATTACTTAGCTTTTCCTGGCATCACTTTACTGATATGCAGTGTGAAGATGATAATCACAGTACTTATTTCGTATACAAATGAAAGAAAGCCACATAAAATGTCAACCTGACACAGAGTCACCATTCATAGATCCTATTTACTGTTATTTTGTTGTTATTGTTATCATAATCATGCGAATTCTTTTCTGTTTAGCCAAGTATTTAAGCGCTTCTGTTGTGGATTTAAGTGTGTGAGAGGGAGGTAAACACTTTTCAAGGGAGCAGTGACTTCTGATGAGGAGTGAGTAGGATGCTAAGGGGAAATGGACAGGAGCCTCTGCGTATTGAATCTCAAACTGGAAGTCAGAATGCGGTGTTCCTTTCTGACCATTATTTTTAGTGGTGGCTTGGTTTTTAAACCATGTTTTTAGTGGTGGCTTGGTTCCCAGACATGCTTACCAAAATATTATGAAGCCAACACGTAGCTGTTTTAGTTGACTATTCTGAGATTTTTAAATACCATTGAAAACGTTACAGAGCTAATATACTATGCCTAAATATCAACAGCTTGCAAATATGTGCTGACCTCCTTCTTAGTTGTGGATTTCCTGGATTATGGTATGCAGATTTTGAATTTTGAAAATCTATGAAAAAATGTATTTTCCCTCAAATTACAGATTTCTTAATATAGTATAGATATTAACTTTAGAAAATTTAACATAGAAAAAATACCACTGGGTTCCACTAAGCTATAGCCATCTATATTACTTCATAAATAAAAAAAACACTAAAATTAAATAGCAAGCCAGGCTAAATATTAGCCAATCAAGTCAAGTCATTTAAAAATAATTTCTTGAATAAATCAAATAGGGAGAAAAGATTGGCAGTGTATGTCTACTGGCAAACAACAATCATTCCCTTCCATTAACCCTCTTAACAATTACTTATGCGAAAGCGTCAGTAGAATAACAGCTGCGGAAAATATCAAAGGATCAAATATAGAAGTCATTAGAAAGGATATGATATATTTAAAAGGAAGGCAAAAGAGAACTTACATATAATATTGGACTTTGAAGAGAAAGAAAGTGAACAAAAAAGGAAAATTGAAGTTATAACTGAAGAAAATATGAAATTGAAACTGTGATCAACTCTTTACATTTTATGTACAATTATTATCAATATGTAATTATCTTTTCAAATTCTTGAACAGCAAGAACTAACAATTATATGATCAAGAAGGAAATAAAAAGTCATGGGCCAGAGGCAAGGGTGATATTAAAAATCAGAATGGGCATACCAACCAATCAGAAAAGAAGTGGGTTATACGCCTTCAATGCTACTGCTGACTGACATTTAGTAATTGCACCGAGAGGTAGAGACTTTGTTTTGTAGAGGTAGGTTTTTAATCAAGTTATTTATTCTTTCCGCATCCTCCTCTCACAGTGAGTGAGATTGCAAAGGTTACGTTGGGTAACTTCAGCTACTGTTATTCTCTGTGACAATCTTCAAGGCTCACATGAAACGAATCCACTAAATTCTGACTTTGGGAGGTGGGAGTAAGGGTGTGATACCATTTTTACTCAAAAGTTTTGTTTTTGTTTTTAAATAAAGCAGCCATATCTTAAAACTTTGAAGATATTACTAGAAGATACTAAACAGATTCTTATTAAAACAGTGTAATACGGATCAGCAACCATAAAGACCAACTCCACTGGAAGTATTTTCCATTAACGTCATTGGTCTGAGTTCAAATAATAACTAAACTAGAGGCGAAAAGAAGGCACATCCCTTTCCCTTTGCAGATGGGAGGTCACCAGATTTAAAGATACCTTCAGATGTTCGTCTTCTCCATGACCAGCTTATTGAAAAATTCATACTTTCTTTTAATAATTTTATTTAATGAATCTCTCACTCTATTTAGATAAATGCTCTCTTTTTTTTTTTTTTTTTTTTTGAGACGGAGTCTCTCTCTGCCGCCCAGGCTGGAGTGCAGTGGCCGGATCTCAGCTCACTGCAAGCTCCGCCTCCCGGGTTCCCGCCATTCTCCTGCCTCAGCCTTCCGAGTAGCTGGGACTGACTACAGGCGCCGCCGCCACACCCGGCTAATTTTTTGTATTTTTAATAGAGACCGGGTTGCACTGTGTTAGCCACGATGGTCTCGATCTCCTGACCTCGTGATCCACCCATCTCGGCCTCCAAAATGCTCTCTTTTTAAAACATAATGTGGATATACATAGCTTACTGGATATAGAAGGATAAATGGACTTTTCCATGGCTGCATGTATACTAGAAATTAATTTATTCACTCATTCAAATAGTCAGTGTTGGCTTATAAGAGTCACTTAACTAGTAGAAATTATATATATATATAAAATGTATATTTATAAATATATAAAATATATATAATATATGTAATATATATTTTTATATATAAAAATATATAATATATATTTCCTATCATTCTTATTATCCTAAATATACTTACAAGAATAAATGTGATTAAGATCACCCTGAGTGTGTGGAGATTCATTTCCCAACTTATTTGGGGAGTAAAAGGGGTGATATTTCAACTGCTTAATGCATATTTTAATATAATTTTTATTGGCCTGATGGTTTTTTGCTACATATATACATTTAGTTTTTAAAATTCTGAATCATTTATTCACTCAGTATTTAGAAACTTATTGTGCTCTCTGAAATGCCAAGCATTTTCTTGTTGTTTTACAGATTACATAGAACTGGACATAATTATTTGATAGTAAGATGCCTACAATTTTTATTTTTCAGACTTGAATGCAGTGCTCATGTAAACTAGAGAAAGGAGATTAAAAATCACCTCTGGATATTCCTCTCACGTGATCTTTATTCTGGATGAAGCAATAGGACAGCTAATAGACGTGTGTCACTGTAAGTATTTTCTAATGAACTTAGAATGTTTATTTTTTTGTTGCTGGATAACATCAAATGTTGTACACTTTCACAGAATTTAAGAATAATAGATGTAGTATTGTAGCAGTAATGGGCAGAACACTAAAAACTAAAATACTAAGTAGCAGGGATAGCAACACGGAAGGGGAAAATTATTCTGGTTATAGAATCCCTTATAACGAGTAAATATTTGATATAAACAAAAGTGAAGGACAAAATGATAATTATTTATGATGTCAAAGTGATCTTTGCTAGAATATTCTTGAGAATGTGACAGCTTTCTGATGAGGAAGTAAAATAATTGTAAAACTTTGCTGAGAAGAATCACAATCTTGCTATGAGTAAGAAATGCGTTATGAGTTACGGGATTCAAAAAATAACAGAATGAGAAGCTTCTACAAGCCAGGCTATTTAAATTTTGGTGACGTTTTAGAATCTGTAGAAATTCCAAAAATTATAGCACCAACTTCAATTAATAGAATGTTCAATCTGTATCTAATGAAGTTATCAAGTACTCTTTACTCATGCATCTATAATTTTATCATACAAAACCATTGCATTCATAAAGAGAAAAAAAATCTTATAAACTGGCCTGAGGGCTTCATCCGATCATATAAATGAAGAAATAGGCTTCCAATTTAACATCCCACAGCACTCTAATGTAATTCTGGGCTAAGTGCTATTACCCTTGGTGAAGAGGTTGAATTTGATAGCCATTTCACTGTTAGACTAACGAAGGCCTATTATATCTCTTAGGTTACAATGTCTTTGATACTGTGAATGACAAGGAAACATACAACCTCAGGGGGAAATTCAGACAGAGGAGGTATTTGGTAGAAAGGCCTCCAGACAACTGGAGTTTCTTTAGATTTTGAAATCATATGTAGACATCTTAGCTGACAGTCAACTAGAACATACCCGTAAGGCATTCGTGTTGGTCATACCTGTGCTGTACAGATGGCTACGTATGTTGTCCATCACCACAATACACGTTCAAATATGAATATGTGTACAAAGATTCAAATGTCAAATATGTCTTATATTTTGACTCCTTAACTTATTTATTATCTTACTAACTTGGACTTATTACCCAGAGAAATTACTTACATAATGAAAACTCTTTTTAAAATATCAGATTACCTTTTCCCCCTAAAACTGAACATATAATTTGGAAAAGTCCCTGAGAAGGAAACAATTAATATTTTGTTTTGTATTTGTAAAACTAGAGTTATTTTATTTCCTGGAATGTAACAATAACTTACAATTTACACTTCAGATTTTGAAATTTTTATTTGTAGTAACATTGTACCTACATCCCAAACAGGTGGTGGATCTAGTTTATATTTTGAATGGACAAATAACATTTTCTGAAAAAGTTGTAAGATGTGCTTGCTTTAGCTGAGTCATAATTTTTACTCTTTCATAGTCCCATAAAAATATGTATTCGCAATATGATTGAATAACGAAATTGACTTAAAGTCAAGTTAGCAATCAAGACAAAAATCAAACCTACTAAGTGTGTTACTTGCCCTACATAAAAAGAAATTGAGAGATGATAATATTTAATATGTCTTTTTAAATATAATTTATCTAGGTTAGATCCATCGAGAAATTTCCTTGAACGTAGATATTCCTATATCATAGAGATGATTTTAAATGAAGTGAAATTATTTTTAATTAATATCATTGGTAATTTGCAACAGAAGGGAATTTTCATGTTACTTAAAACATAATTTTCTTCTAACATGGGTTAGGCCATTTATCAGAACCATGTTGTTAAATGCAGATTTGCAGAAATACTTTTCAATGAAATGTAAGACTACGTGATATTTGAAACCATCCAGTTTATTTAACTTGCTTAAAACAGTGTTCACTTTATACAAGTTCACTTTGATATAATCACTTAAGTGAACATTTTTTATCTATGTACACATGTAAGTGTGTGTCTTTTTAAAAAATAACCTTGATTAGAATGATGAGCATATAGAACTTTATTTATACCAAAAAAACAAAAAAAAAAAAAAATACAAAAAAAAAAAACAAACCTGGTGTAAGAAATGCTTTTATGAGGCAAAATGTATCAAGCCCTCTAGTGGTGTTAATATATAAGATATTTCATTGTGGTGTTTGCTCCATCAAAACAAGCTTTTTTTTTTTTTTTCTTTTTTTCCTCCATTTGAGTGCAAGTATTTAACATTTTTTTTTGACATTACCTTTTTAAAATTCCGATTTGCTCTGCTTGGCAGATAATTTGTAGAATAATTTAGGTGGTTTTTCTAAAGAGAAAAATCTTAACCTTAGGATTAACCATTTTAAATGCCTAAACTTAGTGAATAAATGAATGGCCTATTAGGAGATAAATTATAATTTTTAGATCAGTAACTGTTATTTTTGGGTCTAATGTTAAAAGACATTGTAGTGTTCCATATGCATGATGATAACAGTAGTTTTTTAAAAAGAAAATTTACATAATTTACAAACTCAGAAAAAATCAACAACACAATGAAGGATAAAAAATAGCTAAAACTTCCTTTGTAATTCTTACTGAGATCCTTCATGCTATCTAAAGTCTAAAGGAGGTTAATGGTCTTATTCAGAACTAGGGATATTTACACTGAGATTTTTTTTTTTTTTAAATTTGGCTCTTATTATAGAAGGCACGCAATTAGTGAGGAGATTTAGTTGGCAGATCTGCAAAATGTGTTTCAGTTATTAAGGCACGAGTTTTAGCTTCATGCCAGCAGTATTTGTCTTTCTTTAAAAAAAAAAATTAAAAGTATGAGCATTTGATGTATATAGCTAGGGGAAAATGACAAACATCAAGCATTAGAAATGGAAAAGTAACAATGAAAAGTTTAAGACACAAAGACGAGTCTCAGAGGCTATCTGTTCTCAAAGATGAATTTCTTGATTTCCTGTCCTTTATTTCAACGTCATTTGAGACTCTGAAATTAGGCTCATAGAGTAACCACTGAATACACTGTGGTAGAAAGTGCTATAGTAGGTTTTGGAAGACCCGAATCACTTCTCAGCTTCATCCAGTTTTCTTTGTTGTAAAATTGGAATAATCATGCACTACCTTACCTCACGTGCTCACGAGCCCTTTTGACACTGATCACCATTCCTTTGTAAAAGTGTGCATTATCACTGCTTCTCATTGAGGAATACATGCAGTTGGAGATCATGTAGTCTTCTTCCTAATATGTACACCCTCATTCTTAGAAGTCTTCAGTTAAAACTGATTTAAGCCGGGTGCAGTGGCTCACACCTGTAATCCTAGCACTTTGGGAGGCAGAGGTGGGCAGATCACTTGAAGTCAGGAGTTCGAGACCAGCCTGGCCAATGTAGCAAAACCCCCTCTCTACTAAAACATATAAAAATTCCTGGGGGTGATGGTGCACACCTGTAATCCCAACTACTCAGAAGGCTGTGGCAAGAGAATCGCTCAAACTCAGGAGGCAGAGGTTGCAGTAAGCTGAGATCATGCCACTGCACTCCAACCTGGGTGACAGAGCAAGACTTCGTGTCAAAAATAAAATGACAAAAAAATAATAAGTTAAATAGTCTACATTAGGTAGAGTACTGTGTACAAGTGGTCCAAACTAAGATAGGAGCTTAAAATAAAATGCTAAATCTTAAGAGACTGGGTTTATGCATGAAACGTTTTGTGCCTTGGTCTAATATTAACATGATGTCTGTGCAAAATGACAAAAAGAACCAATGTTGAATTACGCTATATTTTCCATCATCCCAGATTGCTAAAGGTGTTCTTTCCAAGAAATCTAAATGAATTATTATATACATTTGCTGTCATGTATACATAACAGCTGTGTCACTGTTAGAGAGTTCAGTAATTAAAATGGGTAACAGAAACTTAAGTCACTTTCCTTATCAAAACTATGTTCCTTAGAACCACATTATTATAATGGTTTTTGTGCTCTTGTACATTGGATGTCTCAAGTTGAGTACAGTTTCGGGGATCCTTTCTAATGACATGAAGATAGTGCTTTCCTCAACACTGTGATCTAACCTGTGCCAAATCTGTACTATACACTATGTAAACGGCTAACAAGTCAATTGCAAACAAACTGAATGTACAAATCTTAGTGATGGTGCTGAAACCTCTTCAGAATAGTCATCACAATTTAAAAGTTTGTTTAAAAACTTTTTGCAAGCATCAAGTGTCAATCAAAACTGAATAGTCATCACGATTTAAAAGTTCGTTTAAAAATTTGATGCAAGCATCAAGTGTCAATCACAACTGAAGATGAAACACTAGTGAATGTTGAATTCTCATGCTTTTAGGTGTACTTCCTCTTTAGAATTTTCAGTTTTCTGCTATTTTTACCGTAACTATTTTCTTTAAAATTGTTTCACTTAAATTTCCTACACACTAACTTTGTATGATTGAAATAAAATTGCAGTGTGTGTGTGTGTATATATATATATATGATTTAAAACAAAATACTAAATCCTATTGGCCAATATGTGTACTTTTTGCCATCTAAATCTACCTAATTTCAAATGGAAGATGTACATTTGAAAATCTTTAGCCTTCACTCTGAAACAAGTTCATGTAGCAACTTGAAGACATTGATACTTGACTTTTGTGTGATCCAGATACATAGAATTTTCACATGTGCTCTCAGATTGTCCTAATTTAATTCATCATGATATATGATTAAGTGACATCATGGACACTAACTCCAAAAAGGGAACTAAGAAACAGAATACTCTGGAACTTGGTAGTATTTTAGACTCAACCCTTCCTAACATATAACACTATGAAAGTTACGTTTTTGGACTAGGAGTCAAATGACCTTGTTTCAGCACCCAACTGTGCCCTCAGGTCACATAGTCTTCCAGGCTTACAATATATTCACTTCTAAATGAATAAACTGGATTAGAGGATTTTTAAGATATCTTCTAGAAGTATGTTGGTTCTAGATCATTGAGCCACTCAAAAGGTTATACCATCC